GGGATGGGATGGGATGGGATGGGATGGGATGGGATGGGATGGGGGGAACTGTCCAGGCAGGTGTGAAGGACAGAGAGGGGCCAGGGCTGCTCACTGCACAGAGCAGCAGCACAGTGCAAAGCTGACATTTGGGGGCAGCCCGACGTTACCTGCGTAGAATTCGGGGCCGTAGACTGCTCCCACCACTGGGTTCAGCTTCCAGCCTGTGGGCAGGGAAAGCTGGTGAGGACAAGGCACTCTTCATGGTGCTCTGAGGGGTAACAGCCCCATCCCCAGGCAGGAGGAGGGCATGGGGGGCTGCGCTCCTGCACTGGGCACGAGCAGCTGCTCTCCCATTTGCCTGCAGGTGTGGAGGGCATTCACTGCCAGAGCTTCACGGCAGCCAGCCAGTGCTGGGGCCCAGAGGTGCCCCTGCCTGCCGCAGTCCCCCTCTCTGGACACTGGCCCTTACCGTTGGTGTAGGGGTTGGCCACCTTCTTGTTGGTCATGACACGGGCTGTGGCGTTGTTCACCTGGAGAGAGAGGGACGGGGGCTCAGTGCCTGAGGGACGTGGAGCTGGTGAGGCTGTGGTCCAGGGCCCGCTGTGCCGCTGCTGCTGCTGCTGCTGCTTCGGATGCCGGAGCAAAGGATGCCGGCTGCACCAGAGACACGAGACCAGTCTCTGCCTGCAGCACCCCGCTGTACAGACCTGCCCGTGCCTCTGGCCAGCCCAGGCCTCCATGCTCCTCCAGCTGTGAGCGTGGCTCGGGCTGCTGGCTGGTGCCCTGAGAGCTGCGGTGCCATGCTCAGGCTGAGCCCCGACATGCTGCCCGTGAGCTCCTGCCTGATTTTGTTGGGTGATGTTTCCCATGTCCATGGGGCATTTGCTGTGCCCTGCCAGGCTCCCTCTCTGCCATCAGCACTGCTGGGGACATTTTGTCCCACTCCCTCTACACGTGCCACCCTGCTTCCCACCACTCGCCAGCCACCAGCCAGGAGCTGCTGGCAAATGGGCAGAGCCTGATCCCTGTGCTAAGCCTGGAGAAATCAAAGCCTCTGGGGCTGGGCAGCTGTGGCACTGCAGGTGTGGAGCTGCAGGTGTGGAGCTGCGGTGGGTGCTCCCTCCCAGCACAGAGCAGGGGGGAGGGCATGCGGGGCAGAGCCCCAAAGCTCCCTGCAGAGCCTGGGGCGGCTGCTGTGGGCACGGGGGTCTGCCAGACTCGTCTGTACCAGGCAGAAGGCAGCCCCAGCTGGCACCCCAGCTCTCTGTGCACCCGGGAGGTTCCTCTGGGCCAGACACTCCTTGTGCCAAGCGATGACCTTCCCGGCAGCCGACACACATGCTCCCGTGCCACATTCAGGGACACATGCACGCGCTGGGCACAGCTACCGAGGGCACCCGGAGCCGGAGCTGCCCCGAGCGTCCCGCAGCCCGGGCAGGGGACACGCACACGCAGGCATGGCACGGCACTAGCACACTTATCTGAGCACCTCAATCTTCCGGCCCTCTACGATGGTGCCATTCAGCTTCTCCCGTGCCCGGTCGGCATCTGTGCTAGTTTCAAAAGTTACAAACCCAAAACCCTGTGAGCAGAGGAGAAAAGGAGAAAGAAAGAGACAGAGAGAGACAGAGAGAGGGTGTGGGGACAGAGAGAGAGAGGGGGTGAATCAGGAGAGCTGGCGCAGGAGGTGAGGCTGCCACAGTGCAGAGATGAAGAACCCAGACTGGGGTCCCGCAGGGGCCGGGGATCCCGGCTGAGGCCCCAGAATCGCCCACAAGCTGGGAGAAGAGTCTGGGAGAGGGGCACAGAAAGTGGGGAAGATACAACAGAGACATCCAGACACAGAGGGACACGAGCTGCCCGTGGTGGGACAGAGCGAGCCCTCTCCTCCCTCCGGGGCCGGGTGCAGGGGCCCGCGCGACCTCCCCAGTTGGTGCTGGGGCTGCCCCGATGGGGCACCGCATGCCAGGGTCCCATGGGACAGGAGAGGAGGGGAGAGCAGGTTACAGCACTGCTGGGCAACCTGGCTCCGCTGGCACCCTCCCCGGGACTGGCTGAATGGTGCTGGCCATGGGCATCACCCACCTTGGAGCCCCGCTCGTTGAAAATGATCTCCACGTCCAGAATTTTCCCGAATTGCTGCAAGTGGAGAGAACAGAGGGGTGAGTCCATGCAGAGCCTCTGGCCCTGCACCCAGAGCTGCTCTGTGCCAGGGATGGGCAGAGGGCTGCCTTGGGGACCACACTGGGGTCCCCCAGGGACATGCAGGGGAAAGCCCTTGTTCCTCCCATGGCTCCCACTCTGACAGGACTTGGGGAGTGTCATCCAAAATTTCATTAGCTGGCATTGCTCTGAGTCCTAATGAGGGCTGGGAAGGGGACAGTGGAGGGGGACAAGGGCTCTGTGTCACTCCCCACAACACAGGGGTTGGGCAGGATAGGCCCTTGGGAGGTGACAGTGCCGAGGTCCCCATGGTGCCAAGGAGCAGCACTGAGCAGGGATGGCTGGATGGAGCTGTACTCACCCCAAACATCTGCCGCAGGTCGGGGTCCCGGAATCGAAAGGGAATGTTGGAGACGTGTAACCTCTTGGGCTGCTGCTTGTCTGTGTTGTCTGAGGAGTGTAGCTGCTGGCTGTCTGTCTGTGCCGCCTCGTCTGTCTGCTGTGGGAGGCACCGCTGCCATCAGCCCCTGGCCGTGCCAGCCCCGTGTCCCCAGTGGGGGAATGTCCCCCTGCCCTGTGCCTGGCCCTGCCTGCCCTCAGGGACACCCTGGACCCCGTGGTCCCCAGGTTCTGGGCAGTACCCCACAGATGTCCCTCCCTCCGGCTGAGCCAGGGGGATGATGGTGGGGCTGTGGGGATGCTCAGGGTGGGGGTCCAGACACTGCTCTCGGGACCATGTGAAAGGACTGCGAAGTGCTGAGCTCAGCACCTTCCTGGGGCTGCACCCCAGCCCAGCAATGGCCACGACCTTGGAGAGCAGAGCCAGGCAAGTGGATTAGGGGTGATGAGAAATGATGGGGGGCTGAGAGGGAGGGTGATGGTAGGAACACCCAGCCTGGCACCCTGTGGGACTTTGGCCAGGCAGCACCACTGCCCCGGGACCCTCCTGGCAGCTCTGGCACTGCCCCAGATCCCCACAGCAGGGCTGTCCCAGCACACCCCCAGTGCCTGTGGCACTGCCCCGAGCCCAGCACAGCCCCGAGGCACTGCCTTACCGGTACCGTCTGTGTCCCTGCTATGGACTGTGTGCTGGCGTCGGTGCCTGGCTGCTCCGAGTGGCTCTGTGCTGGTGTGTAGAGGGTCATGGCGTGCTCTGGTACCGTGCTCTGCCCCGAGTAGTCCTGCGTGGGGTGGGGGTGCGGCGGCGCGTACTCTGCGGGGATCCCGT